GTCTGGTCCCTTTCGTGGCACTGTGTGTGGCCATTCTGGTGCTCACTCTTTCGCCGCTCACTCTTTTGTGCTGGACTCTGGTTCGCCCGCCTACTTCTTTCGCGACCACACTACCCTTACGCCGCTTGCCGCCCCTGCAGCTGTCGCCCTTGCTGACCCGTCCTCAGGTCTGGTAGTTGCACGTAGTTCCACCACCCTTCCCTGTCCGGCAATTCCCTCAATCTCTCTTACATGTGTGCACATCCCCTCGTTCTCCAGGAACTTAGTTGGTGTCGACTATCTTCAGGACCTCAGCGTTACCACTACGTTCCCTAGACACGAGCGGTATGTCATGTGTACCGAGGCAGCCACTGGTGTCCCCCTCACCTTGTTCCCCCGGGACCCGGTGTCTGGCTTGTTCATGCTGGACACTCTGTCCCCCCCGGTGGGGGCGCCCCCCCAGGTGGCTGCATCTACATACTTTGCTGCGCCTGCTCGTCTCAGTCTCGGTTGCCTCCCTTCCTCGCCTGTGCCTCCGTGCACGCCTTGCGTCGAGGGCCGGGTGCGCTATGCTCTTCAATCCTCTTCGTTTCCCCCCACCACTGCGCCACTCTTGACCCTGCACCTGGACTTCTGGAGCCCAGCCCCCGTTCTTGGGCCGCGTCGCGAGCGCTACTTTCTTGTTCTTGTCGGCAACTACACGCGCTACACCACAGTGTTTCCTCAGGAACAGAAGGCCGACGTGCCTGACATTCTTATCCGGTGGCTTGTAGCTGCGCGAGTCTACCCGCCCAACCTGTGCTTCATCTCCACTCCGACCGTGGCGGTGAGTTCGCCTCCGGTCAACTTGGCCAGTTCTGTCTTGCGGAGGGCATCACCTAGTCGTACACCCTGCCAGACTCCCCGCAGCAGAATGGGGTCACTGAGCGATGCATCGGTTTGGTCATGGAGATGGCTCGTACCTCCATGATCCATGCCAGTGCACCCCATTTCGCTGTTCGGTACGCCGCTCACCGGCTTTGCCTGTGGCCACACTCTCAGCGGCCGCAGGTTTTGCTGACCCTCCTCTGGACCAGGTCCCCTGGTGACGCATCTGCATTCCACGTCTGGGGCTGCCTAGCTCACATCTGCGACTCTCGCGCGGATAAACTCACTGCCCGCACCGTTCCGTGTGTCTTCCTTGGCTTCTCCCTCGACCTTCTGACTGGCACTTCTACCACCCGCCGTTTCACCGGTTCTTTCTCTTGCGTGACGTCACCTTTGATGAGTCTGTGTCCTTCTACACTCGCTTTCCCCACCGAGGTCTCCCGGTTACCCTGCCCCTGTTCCTTGTCCCCGTCCTGCCCCGTCTGGTGTATCTCACGTCACTTCCCTTCCGTCGGTTGGCCTGGCTGAGGAGTCTGCTGACTCCAGGGGCCTTAGAGCTTAGGGTCCGCTGCCCATTTCTGCAGCGCCTGCGCCCTCGGCCCCGGGGTCTTCTCCACTGCCGCAGCCGTAGCAGACGTTGCCGCAGCCGCCACCGCCGCCGCAGCAGCAGCATCCGTCGCAGCCACATGTGTCATTGGGCGCGGGGGTTCCAGGTGCTGGGGGTGCTAATGCTGGGGGTGCTGCCTCTAAGGAGGGTGCTGGTTCTGGGGGAGTTGGTCCTGGGGGTGGTGGTCCTAGGGGTGCTGTCGTGGCGAGTCCTGGAGGTGGTCGTGGTGCGGTTAGAGGTCCTAGTGTGGGCACAGAGCAGCAGCAGCCGCCGCAGTGGCAGGTGCCGCCGGTTTCCGCCCTACGCCTTCTTGGTCTTCCCTCTCCTGACCGCCCGCCCGCGCCTCCCCCAATGCCGCCTCCTCTTCCTGTCTACGGCCCTGTGTTCCCTCCGCCAGACGTGTCCCCGGCTTATTTCCCCCCTCGTTCTACTACTGTGTCTCCTCCCTTGTCTCCTGACCACATGCCCCCCTCTCGATGGTGGTCTTAGCATCCCTCTCGTGCTCACCTTGTCTCTCCCCCTCCGAGTGTTGACCCTATGTCACTTTGATCCTCACGCGTCTCGTGCTCCACCCGCTCCTCTTTTCCCGTCGCCTCCTCAGTCGACCCTCGTTGTCTCACCACCTCCTCTCTCTGACTTCCTCTGTGCTGCTTGCCCTTTTGTTCCTCGTGTCCTCCCCTCTCTTGTTACGGACCCGTCCGTTTCTCTCTCCTGTCTCGACGCTCTTGTCGCTGCCGTCGCTGACTTTTCCACTACCCGCCGCCTTGACTACGCCATTGCTCTGGTCTCTGACCCTGCCCGTCCTCCGTCCATCGGGGGTGCACCTGCTCTTGGCAGTAACATCCTGGAGGACAGGCAGTACGAGCTAGCTGTCCTGTCCGAGGCCGCTCCTCATCTTTGCTCCATGCTGCTAGCCTCAGAGGGTGACCAAGATGCCCTTGATATTCCGACTCCTCGCACCTACGCTAAGGCGACTTTGGGACCCTGGGCCTCTCAGTGGATAGCTGCCATGGACGCTGAGATGACATCTTGGAGATCCACCGGCACCTACATTGACGCAGTTCGCCCACCTGGGGCGAACGTAGTCTATGGCCGGTGGCTCTTCAAGGTGAAGCACCCTCCTGGAGAGCCACCGGTGTTCAAGGCGCACTACGTTGCTAGAGGCTTCAGTCAACACGAGGGTGTTGACTTCTTTCAAACCTTCGCTCTGGCCTCGAAGATGATCACTCTTCGGGCGCTGTTTCACGTAGCAGCACAGCGCGACTATGAGCTGCACTCACCAGACTTCTCCACACGATTTCTCCAGTGCAGTTTGCACGAGCAGGTCTACCTGCGCCGTCCGCCAGGCTTCTCTGGCACTTTTCCTCCTCGGACCGAGTGGTTCCTCTAGCGCGTGGTGTACAGTCTGCGGCAAGCGCCCCATGAGTGGCATGACTTACTGCGTGCTACGTTAGCAGACCTGCTGTTCTTCTCGTCCTCCGCTGACCCTTCACTCTTCATTCGCTCAGGCCAGACTTCGTTCTACATCATAGTCTACATAGACAACCTGGTCTTTGCTACTGCAGACAAAGACGCACTGGCCTCTGTGAAGGCCAGGCTGCTAAGGAGACACACCTGCACTGACATAGGAGAGCTGCGCCACTACCTTGGGCTACAGATATCCCGGGATAGAGCTGCGTGCACCATCACTCTCACACAGTTACACTCAATGTGTTTCTTCTGCTGGGCACGGAGGTAGACGATGAGTGCTTTAGTGATCTGCTTGAAGCCGTACCTGCAGAAGAAGCAAAATAACAGAGAGACTGGCTTAGTCAGAATGGTAGTCCTTGAGTATCTATTGCGAAGAAACGACAGACAGACTTACTCAGAATGGTACGTGCCGAAGGCTTTCTCAGGGATGTGCGGAGTCCGTAAGTCAACGAGAAGAGGAAGAACAGAAACGAACATGGCAATGGGAGTGTCAGACTTGCAAATCCACAAAACGATGAGCAACAACTGCCTGAGGCGGTTGTTCAGGGACTCAAGGGACTCCTCGAACTCTGTGATGCTCGGCTGCGACGTGAATTTGCCATCCAGCTACTGCTATCTCTCCTTTGCGGCCTCGTGCTTCTTGCTTTGAGAATGCTGCACCATTGTCTGCTTCTGGATATCCACTCCGCCGTTGCCGATTTTCCCGTACTGCCAGGTGGGAGGTGCGTGAGCCATGCAAAGCCGGCATTTCATGCACGGACGTCCGCCGGGGCGCTGATCGATGATGAACCATGGGAACTTTCGGACCCACTGCTCCTCAGCCTTGCTTTTTAGCTCAGCTAGAAGCACGTCAGAGTTAGGGATGAGACGGGAGCGACGACGGAACTTCGGGTTCAGGACGGGCCGGTCAGCAGAAGAACCAGCTTCGGGTTGTTCTGACAACAAAGGTGGTTCGTCAGTGGAGGCACAAGCCTTGACACGGATGTGAGGAACACGGGTGCGTGCAAAGCGTATCGTGCTTTGTGTGAACTGTCGAGTGGACCGTGGCTTCGGCAGCTGTTGTACAGCGCTGACGGACAGCGGAGGGGACCGCCCATCTGATACAGCGGTAGGAGAGCGAGGAGACGCTGGGGGAGTGGATGCGAGTAACGGGTCGCTGTTAACTTCTGGGAGTGTCTAGCTAAATGGCTGCACTACTGCGGGTGATGGGACTGCAGGCACGGGATCTGCCTCTGGATTCAGGCATGTCTGGTGAGCTAGACGCAGGAAATCGTGCCCGGGCATACCAGCGGCGGGAGGAACTACAGATGCGGCACCGCCATCTCTAACGGCGCCAGCATCCATGTCGACGTGGTGTGAGACGGGCTACGGAGCAGGTAGAAAAATGACTTGCAATCACCGTGTGTCTTGAACATAGTGAGGGGAAGGAGTGAGCGTCGAAGCGAGGACTGGAGTCTTACCTGGGCGTGGTCCCTCTTTCACAAATCCTCAGGGCGCGCATGCGTCTCCAGCGGCATGGGGAGCATCCATCCACCGTCCAAAGCTGGCGAAGGTTCTCGTCTCCTGCACGAAGCGGGCACTTGGCGACAAGCCAATAGGCGAGGGGTACTGTGCTGTTGAGAAGACAATCCAATCAGATGTGGAGCTGCAGTTTCAGCATGCATTGCAACCCACGACCCAGTGCGCGCACGCCCCTTAGCTGGCAACAGCGATGGTGTCCTTGTGCGCTGTCACAGTACAAGCCAATGAGATTCACATGCATGTGCCAACACATGCTGCCGCAGCTGAGTGTGGGCAGCATCTGAGTCACACTCTGCCTTGCTGATGCCTCGCTGCGAGTGACGCGTCATGTAGAGCTGCCAGAATAGTGCGTTCACATTTTGGGTGGGCGGCCACAACGCGGGCTGCGTGGTATATGCGGTCTGTATAGGGGGGCTATATACAGCCCTATAGATATTGGTTTCAGACGGACAGATTCGCTAAGTCTAAAAACTCATTAGAACGAATACACCCATTCTGTTTTTTCAGACTACAAAATCACTTTCTAAGATATCACGAAGTCTGAAAAAACATTTTTGAAAATCAGATGAAGGCCAAAATCCGTCTGTTTCTGATTTTGTCTGCAATCGAGGACCCTGCGTACCATTTATTTTAGAAGAGCTTTTTCTTAGCAGCCTCTTTATCATCACTCATGAGCAAACAATTAAGCAGTTGTAGACTAGTACCTACTTCCAACATAGCCTTCCGCTTTACGAGTTAACAGCCACAGTGAAAGGCTTTTGTTGACACTTTTACCATCTCCAGCGCAGTCAGGCACGCACCACTAGGCGCTCCCTGCACTGCCCTGGCTCTCCTTGCCTTCTCCTTGCATCCGGCTGGAGGCCTTTACAGAGCTTGGGGGAGTCACTGCGTGGGCAGTGGGGACAGCAGTTGTAGCAGCAGACGCATGGCCAGGCCAGTGTGCGCACAAGACACATCGCTACCCTCCGCTGCCTTGCCACACTTCCCTATAACAGTGCTCTTGTACTGGCTAGCTGCTAGCCGCAGCGGCCTTCTTTGCCTTCTTTCCACTGGACACCTTGGCAGTGCTCGGAGGAGTGGCTGTGAGAGCAGCAGACACATCGCCCTCCTTCACCTTCCGTTTCTTCTTCTTCCCCGCTACAGCATCGCTGCTGGGTGTCTTCCCTGCAGCATCCCCAATGCTGCTGGGTGTTGCCATGGTGGAGGGAGCAGGGGAGGCACCAGAGCCTCCAGCAGCAGTAGCAGCGACAGGAGCAGCAGGTGTCATGGGCTCTGCTAGTACTATTGCCCCTGCTGCTGCTGCTGCTGCTGCTGCTGCTGCTGCTGCTGCTTCTGTTTGGTCAGCTTTGCGCTTCTTTTGTGTGGTGGTGGGAAGAGCGGTGCTGGTGGGAGAGGTGAACCGAGGGCGGAATCGGGAAGGGGGGAAGGGGAGGAGGCGAAACAAAGAAAAAGGGGAGAGAGCAGGGAGGCAGGGAATGCATGCAACGGATGGTGAAGGAGGGCGAGGAAATGAAGGGAGACACGGAATGAGAACGCAAAGGAGGCGGGTGAATCAGGAATGGCCAGTGGAAAGAGGCGCGCACGGTGCATGGTGCATGGTGCATGGTGCACGGTGCACGGTGCATGGTGCACGGTGCAGGGTGCACGGTGCACGGTGCATGGTGCATGGTGCACGGTGCAGGGTGCACGGTGCACGGTGCATGGTGCAGGGTGCACGGTGCACGGTGCACGGTGCGTGGTGCGTGGTGCATGGTGCATGTGCATGGTGCACAGGACAAGAGCTAACCAGGGCAACAGAGGAAGGCAGAGATGGCAACGGAGCGGGAGAAGAAAGAGAATGAAGGAAGGAAGGCACAGAGCAAAGAGCAACAAATTAACAAAGGCTGCACCTTTGCGGCTCCACGGCTACCAGCTGCAGTTGCTGCTGCTGCTCCTGCTGTTGCTGCTGCTGCTTATCATGCCCGTGCCCATGCCCGTGCCCGTGTCTGTGCTTGTGCCGGTGTCTGCTCTTCGCCAGCTGTTTACTCTCTGCCGCCAGCCAGTCCACGCAGCCAGTCTCGGGGTGGTCCAGCGACGCCCTGATGGATATCAGGGTGCCGTCCCCTGTGGCACTGGGGTTAAAGGACAGGGGGAAACAGGGAGGAGAATGCGGGAGCGAGATTTGAGCTTTCCTTGTGCCTCTAGCCTCTCCACACATCGGGGGTGGTCTAGTGACGTTCTGATGAATATGAGGGTGCCGTCCCCCGTGGCACCAGGAAAGGGGCAAGTCAGGAGAACGAGGGAAGGAGATTTGAGCTGATCTCTCCCAGTGCTGCTAGCCAGCGCATGCACCCCGGATCAGGAAGGATGGTCCGGTGACGCCCTGAGGGTGAGGGATATCAGGGTGAAGCCTCCTGTGGCAGCGGGGATAGGGGCAGGCAGGGCAGATGGAGAGCGAGAGTACAGCATGAGCTTGCATAGAGACAGAGTGCACAGCCTGTGCACAGGCCAGTGGAAGACGAGTGCACAGCCTGTGCCTGAGTCTGATGGCTGCTACTGTCACCCTCTCTCCTCTTCTGCATCCCTCCTCCTTCTCTAGGGCTCTTCCCCCTCCCACCCTTCCCCTCGCTCCCCTCCTCTTCCCCTCTCCTCTTCCTGCCTCCCACCGCTCCTATTAACATCTCCCTCCACTCCTCTCCCACCCCCTCCCCTGTTCTTACCTGGCCACTTGCACCCGAATCCGAGTCCCCACAGAGATGCGGTGAGAGGCGTACTCCTCGTGCTGCCAGTGCTGCTGCTGGGAGTCGTCCTGGAGGAAGGAAGGGAGTAGAGTAGGGGGGAAGGATAAGGATGGAACTAGAGGGAAGGAGAAGAGAATGGAGCAGGGGCGCACACAAGTCAGCTCTGGAGTCCCATGGACATGCAGTGAGACGCGTACTCCTCGTGCTGCCAGTCCTGCTGCTGGGAGTCGACCTGGGGGGGATGGGACGCGGACAGGAGAGGAACACATCTCACCTCAGCGCAAGTCCAATGGACAGATGCACACAATGGTGATGCCGCCTGGGGGTCATTCCATAACACCAAGCAGCACGGTGTTTTGGCTCTCCAACACACAGACACCGTGGCTCAAAACAGCCAGTACCTACTGTTTTCCTTACAGCATGTATGACTCTCGAACACACAGACTCCCTTCCACTTCCACATGCCATCAAGACAGCGCACACCCACCTCCATGCATCACGACAGCGCACACCCACCTCCATGCATCACGACAGCGCACACCCACCTCCACATGCCGCCACGAGCGCATGAACTGGTCGGGAACAGCAGCGTTGAACACACCCAGCACCAGGAGACCTATGAAGTCCGCCCCTATGTTGTTCACCACTCCCTCTGTGTGCGAGAGGAGATGTAGGTAGGGGGAAGGGAGCATGGGCAGCATTCAACACACATATCACCAGGAAGCCAATGAAGTCCGCCCCTATGTTGTTCACCACTCCCTCTGTGGCAGCAAGAGCCAAGAGAGTGTGTGAGTGGAAGGGAGGGGCAGGGGGAGGGGAGGGGCAGGGGGAGGGGAGGGAGAGGGGAGGGGAGGGGCAGGGGGAGGGGAGGGACAGGGGGAGGGGAGGGGCAGGGGGAGGGGAGGGACAGGGGGAGGGGAGGGACAGGGGGAGGGGAGGGGCAGGGGGAGGGGAGGGACAGGGGGAGGGGAGGGGCAGGGGGAGGGGAGGGGCAGGGGGAGGGGAGGGGCAGGGGGAGGGGAGGGACAGGGGGAGGGGAGGGACAGGGGGAGGGGAGGGAGAGGGGGGGGGAGGGCAGGGGGAGGGGAGGGACAGGGGGAGGGGAGGGGCAGGGGGAGGGGAGGGGCAGGGGGAGGGGAGGGGCAGGGGGAGGGGAGGGGCAGGGGGAGGGGAGGGGCAGGGGGAGGTGAGGGAGAGGGGGAGGGGAGGGAGAGGGGGAGGGGAGGGACACACAGGAACAGCAGCGTTGACTTGAACAAACCAAGCACCAAGAGACTCACAAATTTGCCCCAAGGTTTTCACTACTCTCTCTGTGAGTGTGAGTGGGGGAGTGTGAGGGGGGTTGGAGGAGGGATAGGGGGGATGACAAGGGGAATAGCGGCATTGAAGCAACACCACAAGCACTGAGAGGCCGATGAAGTTCGCCCCTATGTTGGTCACCACTCCCTCGGTGAGCGTGAGAGGAGAGGACGAGCAGGGGACAGACCAATGGACGAGCAGGGGACAGACCAATGGACGAGTAGGGGACAGACCAATGGACGAGTAGGGGACAGACCAATGGACGAGTAGGGGACAGACCAATGGACGAGTAGGGGACAGACCAATGGACGAGTAGGGGACAGGGAACACGGTAACAGCAGCGCTGACGATGACGACACCCAACACGGGCCTGGTGTATGCGCGAAGAGCAGCAGGAGCGGTTAGAGCTTGACGTGCAGGGCAGGTAGGGGCTGGCTCGCCCCAAGGCACCACAGCCGACGCACCAAGGAGAATACCAGGTCTGGGGGTGAGGCTTCAGGACAGGGCACCCCAAGCCGAGACACTAGTTACTCACCCAGGAAAGCCCCTGGTCTGGGCGCGAAGAGCAGCAGTCGCGCTGAGAGGTTGACATGTAGGTAGGGGTTGAGGCCGGTCAGAATGCTGACCGTGCGGCCGAACAGCAGCACCTTGGAATAAGCCAGTACTATCCCTCTGAACTCCTCGCTATACCTGACGGTGGGAAGGGAGGGAGGCAAAGACAAGGAGGTAGGGATGAGCCGGTCATACTAACATATGATGCTGCCTGTGCACCACATTGACCTTTGAGTCCGCTCAAAACTCATCTTCGCATTATCCAGCCTTCGCACTATCCAGCCTTCGCACTATCCAGCCTTAGCACTATCCAGCCTTCGCACTATCCAGCCTTAGCACTATCCAGCCTTAGCACTATCCAGCCTTAGCACTATCCAGCCTTAGCACTATCCAGCCTTAGCACTATCCCTCCGCGCTCGTGGCTGTATCTGAGCGGGGGGGTGGGGGGGGGGGCATGATGACAAGGAGTCAGGGAGTGAATTCCCGTCAGAACGACACAGAATGCTCATTGAGCGAAAGGATAGCGGCGCCTTGGAACAGGCCAGCACGATCCCTCCGCGCTCCCGCGCTCATGCGCATCTGACAGTATCGAGCGTGCCACTATGGAGCTGATAGAGGCTCGCGGCAGATGCGACATGCACGAATGCGAGCGAGTTTTTAGAATCCTGAGTTTTTCCAGAGTTCTCAAAACGCCCGCGGCAGGTGCGGTGCGGTGGGAACGAACGCGAGTGGACACGCGAGAGCCCTAAACCCCGCAGAACAAGTATGGGCGCTTGGAGCGGCAGGACGACACGATGCGAGGGAGGAGGAAGAGGAGGCGAAGGAGGCGAAAGAGGCAAAAGAGGCGACACTACATGGGAGCCTACTACTGAGCGACTCAAGAGCGACTGAAGCATTACCTCATGAGTGAGTTATTCAGCTGCTCCTTAACTCCCGCTACCACATTTCCCGACCGCGACGGGTGGATATCGAACGTTAATCGCGTCTCGACCTCTCTAAGGGAAGTGCCGCCCACCGCTGCTGCTCGTGCGCCCGCCGTCGCCGGGCCTTTCCGCGTTAGAGGCATTGCGACGGAGGATGCTTCTCGCGTAACGCAGGCGGCTTATGACGCGCTCGTCATGCGCTGTAACGGCGGTGGCTTATACCGCTCTCGGTATACGCTGTGACGGCGGCGTCTTACAACGCACTCGTTATGCACTGTGGCGGATGCCTTTATAACGCTCTCGATACACTGTAATGGCGTGACTTCTCCGCGTACGCTGGCTGCTTCCTGAGCGCCGGAGCGGAGCCCCGTATTCCAAGCCTCGAGTTAGAAGTGCGCGATTCGCCCTATTCCAAAACCCTCTAGGTTTGGGGTTGGGATGGGAGTCAGGCTTCAGCCTGTCTCGAAGCAAGCAGGCTCAGTAACGCTAAAACCGTTGACCCAAATTGCAGAAATTCTGTTTCAAACTTCTTAATCTTGAACCATGTTGCGAATGAACAAGCACAGTAGCGCGGAAATGAATAACCAGATGTTCACTCACTGAATCACGATACAAGGAATGGCAAGCCAAGATATAGGAACACCGGAGCTAGTCTAACCATGCGATGGTAAGGTTCGGGAAAGAGATCGAAGGGTCTCGAAGTGACGAAGCGAGGCCCGGAGAACTCCCGAAGGTCGAACTAGCAGGTCTGGAGAAGCCGAGGCAGTTCTGTCAGAAAGGTATGGAACAATCCCGAGGCTTCGGGTGTGTTCGAGCGTACGCAATAGCAGTACCGCTCGGTAAGGAATGGAAAATTCCTTGCACCACCCCCCCCCTTAGCAAAGGTGATCTATATCAGCCACGTGCTTGCGGTCCAAATCATTCGCAAGTATCGAAGGTGACTGTATCTGGTCCGAGGGCACCCACGAGTCGTCCTCACTGGTACGATTGGTCCACCGTATCAGAAAGTCAACGTATCGTCGTTGACCGTCGATACGAATCCGATGGCTCAAAATCTTCGAAGGCTCGATGGTCGTCTCAGCTGGTGGCCGTACATCTGAGACCAATCGCTGTCGGGCGATATCCGACGTGTCAGGAACGAAGGGTCGCAACAGACTCACGTGGAACTTGTGAATACGCCAGTCATCAAGTAGGCGCAACTGGGCGGTCACCGGCGTTACCATCTTCATGATCTTGAATGGGCCACAGAAACGTTGTCGTAATTTCGTCGGTAGTGGCAGTCGTAAATTCTTGGTGTCCAAAAGGACTAGTTGCCCTGCTGCCATTGTAATATCCCGTCGATGTAAATCCGCATACCGTCGGGCAGTTGCGTTCGCCTTGCAAATAAGTTCGACAGCTTTGTCTCGGGCAGTCTGTAATTCTTCGACGAACTGCTGCGATCGTGGTACTTGACTCTCAACGTTGGTGGAGACTGGTACTGTAGGGTCCATCCCGTAATTGAGATAAGATGGGGAGTGATTAGTCGTAGCCGAGGGCGCGTTGTTGTAGAAAAATTCCAACATGGGTAGCACGTCCTCCCATTTTTTCCGGTCGGGGCAGTTTGTCCGAATCAGCTGTTCCATCGTTTGATTCGTCCTTTTCGTCTGGCCGTCCGTTTGGGGATGATAAGCGGAGGAGAACTGTAGGCGCGTGCCATACCGAGCCCACATGTCCTGCCAGAATTTTGACGTGAACTTCGGATCTCAATCGCTAATGATTGCTGTTGGTATCCCGTGTAGGCGAACGACGGTCGAGATGAATAGGCGCGCGGTTTCTTCGGCTGTGATGGTTGTACGACATGGTGCGAAATGCGCCATTTTCGTCAATCGGTAGACGACAACCAAAACTGCGTCGTTTCCGCTGGGTCGGGCCGGTAGTCCCATGACGAAATCCATCGTTACGTGTTGCCATGGGCGTTGAGGTGGCTCGAGGGGTTGCAACAGTCCTGTAGGTCGCTGGTGTGATGACTTCATTCGCTGGCAGATCCGACACGCGGCCACGTAACGCTGCACGTCCGTCACCATATCTGGCCAGTAATAAAACCGCTGCAACGCCTTCGGAGTTTTATCAACCCCGAAATGTCCCGATAATTTCGAATCGTGGACTTCTTGAATTAGTAATTCGCGAAGTAGACGATAACTTGGGACCCAAATTCGACCAGTCCCGCTTCGTAAGTAAAAGACGCCTTTCCGTGTAGTGATTGGGAGATGGCCGTCATTTTCGAAGAAGGGGTCAGTCGAATACCCGTGGGTAAATAGTCCACTCAGTAACGGGTTGCTCTGGGCGACTAGTATTGCTGCGAGTTGGGCAGATGGTCTGGAGAGGGCGTCGGCAATATTGTTGGCGCCTTTTTTTAATGTGATCTTGTACGTGAAGTTGGACTCCAGATAGTCCAGCCAGCGTATCTGCCGCGGGTTGACATTCGGCTGCGCTCTCAGGTACTGTAGAGATTTATGATCGGTTCGCACCGTCACGTCTACTCCAGTCAAGTTGCATCTCCAGATTTTGAACGCGTGGACGATCGCCAGCATCTCCTTGTCGTGTACTGGGTAGTTGCGCTCAGCAGATTGCATTTTCCGAGACTCGTATGCAATTGGTTGGAGCCCATTGCCGAAATCCTGCATGAGCACTGCTCCGATGGCGATGTCACTTGCGTCGGTGATGACTTCGAAGGCCCATTCCGGGTCAGCGATGCGAAGTACCGTTGGCGACATTAAAAGATTTTTTAATGTCTCGAACGCAGCTTGCTGCTTCTCCCCCCACTCGTAAAAAGTCCCCTTCGGCAGTAGGTCGGTTAGAGGTCCAGTTAACCCCGCCATGTTAGGTATAAACCGCTGCACGTAATTCACGAAACCCAGAAATGATTGCAGTTGCTGCAGATTTGTCGGTGGTTTCCATTCCTGGATAGCCCGGAGTTTTTTCGGGTCTATCCGAATCCCCTCCGTGGAGATCACGTGCCCCAGGAACTCCAATTCTTGTTTTAAAAACTCGCACTTGGAGCCCTTGGTGATGAGACGATGCTGCTGCAACCGCTGAAAAACCGTTTCCAAATCTTTTAAATGTTGCTCCCGGGTCTTGCTGTAAATCAGGATGTCGTCTAGGTAAATTATCACGCATTTGTCGAGTAGATCGCGGAACACCCCATTCATGGTGAGTTGGAATATTGAGGGGGCGTTCGTTAATCCAAACGGCATCACCGTGTATTCGTAACTCCCGTAGCGAGTACGAAACGCGGTCTTGTGGCAGTCGTCAGCGAACACCCGAATTTGATGATAACCGCCGCGAAGGTTGATCTTCGAAAAGTAGCGAGCTCCGCGAAGGTTGTCGATCAGTTCGTCCGTGCGTGGGATTGGGTAGCGCAATTTTATCGTTACCCGATTAAGGGCTCGATAATCAGTACACATGCGAAGTCCGCCGTCCTTTTTTGGGGTGAACAAGATCGGTGCCGCAAACGGTGACGTGCTTGGCCGAATGAACCCTTTCGCCAGCAGGTAGTCTAGCTGGTTCCGTAATTCCTGTAGCTCCGGTTGAGTCAGGCGCCATTGCGTGTGTACAGTAGGCTGCGCGCCGGGCTCCAATTCGATCTTGTGGTCCTGGGGTCGTTCGGGTGGCAGTCCACTTGGCAAGTCGTTTGGGAAAATCTCGGGATATTCCCGAATGATTTTCGCCAAGTCATCCAGGACCGAATTGCAGAGTTTGTTGATGTCAGTCGCCTCATTCTGCTCCGTCGATTCGGTTAGATGGACGGCGTATAAATCCGCTCCATTCTTGACCGCTCGCTTGAGGCACACCGTGTTGACTCGTGTCGACGTTGTCTCTGCTTCCGGCCACGTGGGTAATTTTCGCCAGCCTTTGTCGCACTTCACTGTGCACTCGCCTGTGGTCCAATCGATCTTCGGGTTGAATCATCGCAGCCAATCGCGTCCCAATAGCACGTCGTAGCCGTCGAGCGTTGTCGCCAGCATCGGCGCGCTGAAACCAAAATCTTCGCCACACTTCATTCGAACGACGGGTACTTTGTCGCGTATCGCCAGCGGGGTGCTGTCCACCAATCGTGCGTCGATTTCGGGCAGACACCTCTCCAGCGTCAGGTGTAGTCCTCGTGCTGTCTCTCAATTTATCAGGCTGTGACTCGCACCTCCGTTAATGAATATTTTTATTTTTCTTCCGTTGAGTCGTCCTTCCGCCAGTACAGGGTGGTTCACTGGGTCATCCCCCTTATTCAGCCGGGAGCGGTTGATAGCATGTATCGAAACCACTACTCGGTGGGGATGGTGTTTTTCGGGCGATGAGAAAGGGTCAGTAGGGGGCCCGACCGCTACTGACGCTTGGTGTTTCCCGACCTGTCTTCGTCGTTCTTCTTTATCTAATTCTTTCGGGGGCAATCGTGAGATTGGTGACCCGGGTGGTGGCAGTTGAAACATTGTCCCTTGCGAAAGTCTTCCATGTGCTCCTTCGCCACTACGCTGTGAATCGTGGGCCGTGGATTCTGGCCACGAAAATGATTTCCCTCCCGGGAACCCGCTCTCGCATATGTCCGATGTGCGTCGAAAGTATCTGCGATCCGGACTACTTCGTGAAACGTCGCCGGAAGTCGCAGTCGGACCTCGCATTTAATGTCCTGCTTCAAACCCGAAATGAATCGAGCTTTCTTCTCGGAGTCATGCATGTCGGTGATTTGATCGCATAACGCCATGAAGATCGAAGCGTAATCCTGGACAGAACTCCACTGGCACCAGTTGTCCAGCTTCGTGCGTGTGTTATCCGAACCGTTCACGCAGAGCTGTACCCCACGCCTTCCACGTGCGAATCTTGGTCGATCCAAAAATCGCGGTTGACCCTTGGGCAGCAGACCCAAAGTTTCCGAAAAACCCCTGTGTGTCGTATGCCGAACACTCCCCTCCTGTAGAGTATATCGCCACCAATCTAGCGCAGGTCCCCGCAGTAGTGATACAGCCGGTCGAATTTTTAGATCATCAGGAGTGATCCCAGCGGCATTAAAATAAAGTTCCGCCGAAAATAACCAGCCCGTAACTGTAGTATTCTTATCTGTGGGGTTGAACGGGGGCGGCATTGCCGGTTTGATCGTCGCTGTCGTCACGATCGGCATAAACGCCGGTGCAGCTACAGTAGCGGCTGCTGCTCGTGCTGCCACGTCAGCTGCTGCGGCGGCTTCACTGTCCTTGCGCTCCTGTGACACCTCACGTGCGATTTCGTCCAAGACAATTTCGACACGTCCGGTGCTGGCGACCTCCTCTTGGGCGGCAGATTTCTGACGCGAATTCTCTCGCGCCTGGCATAACTTAGCAACTTCCGCACGAAGTCGCTCGTTGCCCTCCAGCACTATAGCCATGCGTGTGTT